AAAAAAAAAAAAAAAAAAATACAATAGAAAAAGAAAGTAAAAAAAGCGGGCCATCGAGGCGGGTCGTGAAATTGATGACCCTGAAACGACCCGTGACACCTGTCTGAAATCCAGTTCGGTCCTAGACCCACGGTCAACTGGTTTGACCGGGGGGTCCGTGTCGGGTCGGTTGGCGGGCCGGGCAGCCCTTGGCCATGTCTGTCCACGTACTAAGATTTTGTCAGTATTTGGCAATTTGCTATCACCTTGTATATGATAGCGTGTTGGGATTTATTTCATTATAAATGAATTCATATCAAACTCAGTTAAATATTTGAGGTCCTAAATTTTCTTGATATATTATTGCTTGAAGTATTTTTGGTCGCCATGGTAGGAGCTGTAGAGCTGCAGACTGATATCAATGGTGAGATAAGAATTTTCATGTTAAATTTCTTCTGTTTCGATTCATCTTTATACTTTCATGTGTTTAATTATGTCCAAATTCCCTTCAGTTCCATAATGTTTTTTTACTTGTATTGTTTATGTTGTTTCACTAGTTTCGAATCCCGCCGCGAAAGAGTCACCGGAAAACATCGAAACCAACAAGAAATTTCATGTTAAATTTCTTCTGTTTCGAATTTCAATTTATCTTTATACCGCCACGAACTAGTTTCACGTGTTTAATTATTTCTAAGTCTTCCTTCCTTCAGTTTCACAATGATTTTTACGTATATTGTTTATGTTGTTTCACTAGTTTCGAATCCCACGGCGAAAAACTCACCGGAAGTAAACACCGAAACCGACAAGAAGACATCCTTAATAATCCCCTGCATTAGACAATACAAATGGTGGATCCAAATGATAATCTACTCGTTTTTCGTCCTCGCCGGACAATCCGTGGGCACTATCTTGGGCCGTCTATATTTCGACAATGGCGGTAAAAGTGAATGGATGGCCACATTAGTCCAAGTCATCGGCTTCCCGATTCTCATCCCTTTCCAATGGCTCACATCCGAGAAAAAATGCAACAACCAAACTCGAACGAACACGGTTAAAAAACCGTTCCCTTTAACCTTAGCCACATTTTACGTAGCAATCGGCATTTTTTTAGCTGCCGATTGCTTGCTTTACTCGATCGGCCTTCAATATCTCCCGGTCACAACCTATACTCTAATATGTGCTAGCCAGTTGGGTTTCAATGCCCTTTTCTCGTACTTCCTCAACAAACAAAAATTCACTCCTTACATTGTGAATTCCTTGGTTTTGCTAACAATTTCATCTGTGCTCCTCGTTTTTCAAACCGAGCCCGGAGACTCAAACAAAGCCTCGGAAAAAAAGTACGCGATCGGGTTTTTATGCACGTTGGGTGGCTCGGCCGGGTACGCGCTAATGCTTTCCCTCACGCAGCTCGCGTTTCATAAGATCATCAAGAAAGAGACGATCAATGCAGTAATCGAGCTGACGATTTATGAGAATATGGTGGCGAGTTTTGTGGTGATAATCGGGGTTTTCGCGAGTGGGGATTGGGAGAAGCTGGGTCGGGAGATGAGGGGATATAAATCGGGAGAGGTTTCGTATGTGATGAACTTGGTTGGGACTTCGGTTTGTTGGGTTACGTTTGGAGTGGGCTGTGTTGGGCTGGTTTTCAAGGTCTCGTCGTTGTTTTCGAACGTGATTAGTATTTTGGGCCTGCCCGTGGCCCCGGTGCTAGCTGTGATTTTCTTGAAGGATAAGATGACGGGCTTGAAGTCCGTGGCTATGTTGCTCGCCGTGTGGGGGTTCGTTTCGTATGTTTATCAACATTACTTGGATGATTTGAAGATGAAGGAGGAGAAAAGCAGATTGGATTGTGAGCAAGCTGCAAAAGTTGGTCTTGTTGCTGAGGAATGAGTGTAGTTTGCTTTTTTTTTTTTTTTTTTNNCTTCAGGAAATGTATAATTTAGTGTTGGGAAAAAAAAAAAGATTTGTTTATGCAATGTATGAAAGTTTACTTAAATTATTTTCATGCAGGATTGTTGAAATGGGTTTTTAATTTTCTGAAGAGATGGAATTTACTCAGCTTCCAGCACAAGTGATGTTAATTTTTCTGAGAACAAAAAAGTTTGTGTATGCTAACAGTACATAAGTTAAGTGTAATTGGTTACAATAATAATCTATGTAGCCTATTATTTTCACATATCCATTTTTTTTTTTTTTTTTT